TTTAGCAGAGTATTGATTAGTCTGGGTAGTTCAGAATAACCCACACACACACCAGCAGCTTCTCCACTACCAATGTGTATTTACAAGATATTTACAGCAGTTCAGTCTGGCAGCCTAACAGGTAGCATTCATCACAAAGCAGGAAGATACTTCAACTGTACAGTTTACATATATATACATATACACATCTGCTTGTGTCCAATCACATTATGTGTTGTATCATGCATGACTCAGTTTCTACACATCTGTTCATTATGGCTGCTCATTAATATACTTTATTCTGCTCAGGCCTGTAAATTTACCTTGACACTTTCCAAAGGTCACCCAATATAGAGCGCGTTGAAGCAATCCAGTTGGGATATAACTAAGGCATGTGCCACTGTTGCCTAGTATTATTTGTTGTATTAATTCACTGATTTGGGGAGGGGTTGTCACGTTAAAGACCTACATGTATGCAACCTTTACATTTTTCAAAAAAATATGACAGCCCTATTGAATTTTTTCTGCCTAAATCTGGGTAGAGCTCAAAGCATGGTAGGCACCCTTGGTGGGCCATCTAGCCACAGCCTAGTGCCCAGTGAAACAGTATGAGTACAGAGATCCCAGTACAGATGGAGGCTGGGAATAAAAAGGCCAGGGAAAGTCAAACACAGAACACAGTGCTGCTAGGTGAAACTAGGGAGGAAATGCCAACTAATATATGCAGGAGGGGCTAAATTTAAAAACCCATCTCAAATAGTTGGATACTAACGTAAAGTCTGTTTGAAGAGAAAGGTGATAATAATAATCTTACAACTGCAGAACTGGAAGGGACCAAATGGAAAACTGTGTCCAGTCCCTGTCAACGAGGCACAGTAGGGGATCAAACTTCTAACCTTTGGCTCCCCAGCCAGATACCTAAACCACTGAGCTATCTAGCAGTTCTTTGTCAGGTTTCAGAAGGACAACAAACATGGGGCCAGCCTGGCCTCCTGTGGAAAGGAGTTCCAGAGTCTGGTAGCAGTGACAGAGAAACCTTCTCCCACATCCTCACCAAATGCACCTGTAAAAGTGTCGGGACTCAGAGAAAGGTCTCTCCTGATAATCTTAACATCTGATCAGGCTCATAAAGGGAGACATGGTGCTTGAGATGGCTTGGACCCAAGCCACTTAGGACTTTATAGGTTAAAACTGGCATCCAGAAACTGACTGGGAGTCAAGGGGGCTGCTGTAATGGTGTGTGTGTATTATTAGATCCCTTTAAGTACCTCCAGTTAACTATCTGGCTGCAGCATTTTGGACCCACTGAAGATTCCAAACGCTTTCTGTTAGTGCGAAAACATGGAAAAACAGCAGATTTAGCAGAGTATTGATTAGTCTGGGTAGTTCAGAATAACCCACACACACACCAGCAGCTTCTCCACTACCAATGTGTATTTACAAGATATTTACAGCAGTTCAGTCTGGCAGCCTAACAGGTAGCATTCATCACAAAGCAGGAAGATACTTCAACTGTACAGTTTACATATATATACATATACACATCTGCTTGTGTCCAATCACATTATGTGTTGTATCATGCATGACTCAGTTTCTACACAAGTAGGGGATCAAACTTCTAACCTTTGGCTCCCCAGCCAGATACCTAAACCACTGAGCTATCTAGCAGTTCTTTGTCAGGTTTCAGAAGGACAACAAACATGGGGCCAGCCTGGCCTCCTGTGGAAAGGAGTTCCAGAGTCTGGTAGCAGTGACAGAGAAACCTTCTCCCACATCCTCACCAAATGCACCTGTAAAAGTGTCGGGACTCAGAGAAAGGTCTCTCCTGATAATCTTAACATCTGATCAGGCTCATAAAGGGAGACATGGTGCTTGAGATGGCTTGGACCCAAGCCACTTAGGACTTTATAGGTTAAAACTGGCATCCAGAAACTGACTGGGAGTCAAGGGGGCTGCTGTAATGGTGTGTGTGTATTATTAGATCCCTTTAAGTACCTCCAGTTAACTATCTGGCTGCAGCATTTTGGACCCACTGAAGATTCCAAACGCTTTCTGTTAGTGCGAAAACATGGAAAAACAGCAGATTTAGCAGAGTATTGATTAGTCTGGGTAGTTCAGAATAACCCACACACACACCAGCAGCTTCTCCACTACCAATGTGTATTTACAAGATATTTACAGCAGTTCAGTCTGGCAGCCTAACAGGTAGCATTCATCACAAAGCAGGAAGATACTTCAACTGTACAGTTTACATATATATACATATACACATCTGCTTGTGTCCAATCACATTATGTGTTGTATCATGCATGACTCAGTTTCTACACATCTGTTCATTATGGCTGCTCATTAATATACTTTATTCTGCTCAGGCCTGTAAATTTACCTTGACACTTTCCAAAGGTCACCCAATATAGAGCGCGTTGAAGCAATCCAGTTGGGATATAACTAAGGCATGTGCCACTGTTGCCTAGTATTATTTGTTGTATTAATTCACTGATTTGGGGAGGGGTTGTCACGTTAAAGACCTACATGTATGCAACCTTTACATTTTTCAAAAAAATATGACAGCCCTATTGAATTTTTTCTGCCTAAATCTGGGTAGAGCTCAAAGCATGGTAGGCACCCTTGGTGGGCCATCTAGCCACAGCCTAGTGCCCAGTGAAACAGTATGAGTACAGAGATCCCAGTACAGATGGAGGCTGGGAATAAAAAGGCCAGGGAAAGTCAAACACAGAACACAGTGCTGCTAGGTGAAACTAGGGAGGAAATGCCAACTAATATATGCAGGAGGGGCTAATGTATGCAGGAGGGGAGATGATGAGACATCCCTGGAGGAGAAGGAGGAGAAGGGCTCCAGTCTGGAACTGGGCAATATAAAAAGTGCACTAGAGGAGGTAGAGAGGCAGGGTTTTCCTTTGTAACATGGTCCCATTCACCCTGGGTCTTCCTCCTCCTCTGTGTTGTAGGCTTCACCTAACTCTTCCTGGGCCAGATTCTCTTCCCTTTCTGAAGGAGCTTCCTCACACCTTCCCTCAGACTGAAAGGTGTTAGATGATGAACGTATTGGCTTAAACCTAACAATATGCTTTGCAGGCATCTACTAGTACAATGGGACTTTTTTCCTGCAGAGCAGTACAGCATTCTATGCCTCCTGATAACCTGCTCCAGATGGCTTCTTGGATCTCAGAAGCAGGTGTTGAGGAAGTAAATGCTTTGATTGTATTCCTGCATTGAACAGGGAGTTGGACTTGATGGCCTTGTAGGTCCCTTCCAACTTCACTTTTCTACGATTTCTATAAAAGGGGTTGCAGAAATCATACCATCTCCTTGTTCCACTGAAGGTAGCTTTTTCCATGGCAAATTACCTTGTTTGATGTTCGCTGTTACATTCAGCTTGTACAGTATACTGTACTGAGAAAAATTTTAATGCAAAGTCTTTCTATCGCCACTTCGAGTGTTTAGGTGTGACTCTTTTTATTGCAACTTATAATAATTAGGTTCCAAATCCAGCTTTTCACACATTTTCTATTTCCACGAAAGAAAAATAGAACACATATATTGGTATCTCTTAATCCTAAACCTGAAAACTCATCTGTTTTCATGCTTTTGAGCTGTTGAGTTCCATTTCTTAAGTGTGAAATACCTTTGCATTTTAAACATTTTCTTAAGAGAAATAATAGCCAAGTTTTAGGCACAATTACATAGGGCAGATAGAGACTATCTGCTACTGTACTATTCTGAAAAAAAAGCATGCCACAGCAGACCTCATTTGGCAAAAGAAATTGAGCAATGTCCACCAAAAAATAACAAGGGTCTCCAGTTAGGACTAGGAAAGAATACTGACTAAATGGGACTGAAGGTCAAACTTAGCTCTCTCTCTTAGGCAACTAGCTTCAGCTCTCCCTTCTCACTTGTTTTCTAAGAATATATAGAAAAGACATATATACTTCCCAGGACATGGCTTGAAAGAGTCACAGGTATAACATGTTGTGTGTAGGTTTTGTGCAGAAATCAAAAGTAATTTTCTGAGATAAGCTTCATTAGTCTCTAAATATCAAGCCACTGTTAAATACTACAGCTACTGAGTATGCATCTTTAGCAGATGATCCTGACCTGACCTAGCTTTATAATATTTAGAAGCATGTTATCTGATGAGTCTCTATCTCTGATCTATATTTCTGACAGTTGCAGGAAGCAAAATGAAGCTTCATAACATTTTGGCCAAGCTTCCCCAGGTTCGTGCTTCTAAATGTTACAGAGGCCTCCCAGGTATCGCACTCTGAAATTTGCCTTACCCATCAGACTGTTCAGAATGCCACTGAATGTGAAGTTTCCCCATTAGAATTACAGACAAGACGGCAATATGGGCATTTCCTTCACACTTTGCAGAGAATGTGTGAAAGGAGCATGAGGTACTGAAATGATGTGAGCACTTCAGGGGAAAACTCCTAAGTACTGGTATGTCACAGGTATAAGTGACAGCAAAGCACACAGTATGGAGTTACCTCACATGGCATTGAGTCAAGATGTTACTTAAGAAACAGGCAGGTCAAATAACTAAGGAAAATAGTGCAGTATTCTTTAAAAACTGTAAAAAAAATGACACCACTTTTAAGCTGTGAAAATGAGCAGCTATCAGAAAAGGGGAAAAAAAAAGAAAAATATTCTTTTTTAAAGGTACAATGACTTCACACAGGGCAGGCAGAGAGTATCTCCATGAATGGTATCTATCACTGCACCATCCTGTTACAACCTCCATCCCCACTGGGGTGTTTGTACTACTACTCTCCCCAGAGACTGAAATGGGGCCAGACATCCCGCCAAGGGCATCCAGACTAGCATCCCCGTCACATCATGTCCCCACCATGCTTCCAGCTCCATCCAGTTTTAGGCTGTAAAATCTGAATAGGGCTCTCTCTCTCATCTTTTTTTTTTTCAAGAAATGTACACAGTGCTAGATACCAAAAGTGGGACACAGGCTGGCAGGCAGGAAGGAGATTCATGCAAAAAGCACTGACCTGGTGTTATCGCTATACCATTCCCATTGACGATCGCTCTTTCTTCCTCCTCTTCCTCTGGAGGCTCTATTCCCGTCTTTTCCATATTACTCACTGACTTATTTCTTTTGCGCTTGCCTTCAGCACTGGGGGTTGCACCTGGGAGTATCTGGTCTGTTACATTTAACAGTAATGGGGCTGGCTCTGCCGGAGGCTTTGGAGTACCGTAGTAGTTGTCTAGGAAACCAAACAAAAGAAAAAAGAGAAGAAATAGGGATGTGTGAATCCTACATATTTATTTCCGTATCTTCTTCACTTTTGTGTCCCCAAGGCCTTAGATATTGATGAATACTCTCTAGAATGGCTAAGATATATAATGCTGGGGAAAGAGCTAAATTATAGCAGTGGCTTGATAAATGAACATCAAATAGCGCTCTTAAGTGAAGATGAATATATGCACTTAGATGTACATTGGAAAGTGCATTCCATTGAGAGCAGCCTGTAACAATACTGTGGATATTTGACTACTTTCAGTTGCTGCTTCTTCTCTGTCCATGCTTTTACAAGTGCAAAGAAATTAATTTACAAGGAAATTTATATTCACACTTTCTGCTTGATGTGGCTAGCATCGGGTTTTAAAAAACAGTACCTTACTTTTGCTGGTCAATGACTGTAATAAAACATTTAATCTTAAACAAACAAACAAACAAACAAATAAGCAAGCAAGCTTTATGTAAATCAACAAATGACTGTGGATATGCGACAAGGTTTTCTAAGTGATGTCTCCTCTATGGTGGCATGATGTAGAATCATGTCTATTGCATATTCGTAAATACTGTACTTGGGTAAAAGAAAAAGTACTGGCGAGTACATGGAATATTCACTGAGCTTACCTGCCATTACTACAGAGAGGTAATTAACAAATTTAACAACACAGAGTTCTTCATGCTGCAATGAAATTATATGGAACAGATGTTTCTGTAATAGTGATGCACTAAAAAAAGCATCATGCCTAATGGCTCTAAAACTCGCACCATGCTTTTAGTATGCATTATGTTGGAATATTATTCTCTTAAATTGACACTGTAAATCTCTTTTCTTACAATTTTGGATCTATTTGAGGAAAAATGTTAACGTCAGACATGGAAGTGCTCTCAGTTCCATTAAAAGGGTAGTCGCTAAGTTGTATTGAATGACCTAAACATCCACTAAAATTAGTGAGTTTGAAGGAAACATGCATATTTTTAGGGAGACCAAAGCCATATTTTCTATGGTTTTTTCTTTTTTCTAAAGAAGAAAAAGATACTCACTGAATTATATTCATAATTCAAGATCTCCTGTAGCCATAACATTGCTTTCATAAACATTATCACAATTTTGTAGCCTTCCTGTTAGTTCACAATTAACTCAAAGTAATTTCTAAGAGATTTTTAAAGTTTGCCCTTTATGGTTGTTGTGGGTTTTTCGGGCTCTTTGGCCGTGTTCTGAAGGTTGTTCTTCCTAACGTTTCCCTATCTCACAGCCATAAATACTACACTCCCAAGCCAACTACACCAGAGCACAGAGTGCTGTCCTCTGAAGATGCCGGCCACAGAGACTGGTGGAACGTTAGGAAGAACAACCTTCAGAACACGGCCAAAGAGCCCGAAAAACCCACAACAACCATTAGATCCCGGCCGTGAAAGCCTTCGCGAATACATTTGCCCTTTATAATTTCCTGGCTCCTTTCTTCATGTTTCTGAGCAAAAGTGTTGTCTGATGCACCTAGTATTTTTTCCTCACCAAAATGCTTAACTATATGTTGACTTGTGTAATGTGGTCCACATTGAGTTACCGTTGGGGATGGCTTGGAATCTTCAGCTGAACTTCACTCACAAATACATTCTATAGCTTTGTAGCAAACAACTGACCACATAATTTTTTTACCCGACAAAAACATAGTTGAGAGGAGACATATTCCAAGCAAAAAATGGTTCAAAAGTGTAACAGTCAATACTGAATATCAGTAACAGTATGGGACCTGCTATTTTTTTAAGTGTATTGTTTATTGTGGCGAATCATCATGGCAAGCTCTCTGGAATTAAGGATTCAGATTGCCTTTATTTACACAGGTGGTTCATAAAAAGAGTGGTTGGAAAAGATATAGAAAGAAAGTACAAGATGAATATAAAGATCAGGTGGGAAGTGCTATGCACTGAAGAAAAGAAAAGCAAGGGCAATGTCTGTCAATGAGACTGGGTCCGATGCTTCCTATAGGAAAGGCTATTCCCATCCTTAATATAGCTATTGCTCTCACTGTCCAAATGATAACTTCTCTTGCATCTGATGTAGTAAACCACCAACAATACACTGGGCTGTTCTTTTGTTTATAACAGTTTTGACAGGAGACATACATACTGAAACACTTCAAAGGATGAGATTTACCTCCATTCATCTTTCTCTGTCTCCTCACCCCTGCAAGAAGTGGCACAGAGCCTTTTTCAGGGTAAAGGAAATATGACGGAATAATAATAGATGGAATACCAACTAGAAGAATAAACGAACTTCATTAAAACAAAAGAAGAAAGCTGTATTGTGCATGTCTTTCCCACCAAGATTGGCTTCTAGGTGTGAAACAATTGAAATCCATATAAATTATTAGCATAACTAGGGAATTATGGGGGGTGGAGAGACATTTCTTCTCCAGGCAATTTATGATTGTATCCAGATTTCAAGCCTCCTTTCCCCAGGGACAGGAGGAGCTACAGATGGATCTGGAGACCGGTTAGTGAGATACCTGACAGCATACAGAAGTAACCTATCATTTGCTTCTAGAATTTTTTGTAGAAATCTTCTGGCATGAATCATGGTCAGTGGGGTGATGAATTGGCCTGATCAATTGAATGGGATGGATGGACGGATGGACGGATGGACGGACGGGCGGGCGGACGGACGGATGGATGCCGCCCATCTGGTAGCCAGGACCACTCTGGGTGGTTTACAACAGATAAACAAAGAACAGAACTGGGACAGGCAAAGTGAGGTGCTCCCCTGTAATGGTGACAATGGCAAAAATGGTGAAATCATTTCATCTGATCCAACTTAAAAGTAAATAATAATAATTGTAAAATGGTTCATGCGATAGGGTTACCTCATCTCTAGAGAAAGTCTTTATGCAAACAATAGAGTATGACACAAAAGACAAAATTTAAAATGACGAACCACATGCTGCCTCTTTCATGGGCACTAAACGCAAGACTCTTTGTGGCAGACTATGCCACCACAGAGAAAATTATGCAAGATGTTGAGGCTGGCAGGCAGGAAGAAAGTGAGCACTGACAGAGTAGGTAGTTACACAGGAACCATCAGCTAAGTGAGCTATCACACTGGCAGGCATGGGTGGGCAGTTTGACTGCTGGTAGGGACTCATATCTGAGCAATGGACTGGTCAAATAAACATTCAGGCCAGCAACAAACTGCATAATAGCAGGCAAAAGATGCACTGGCTCTTCCTGAGTTTAATAGCATCCTCTGCCCATCCACAGTAATGGTGCTGCAGAGCAACAGAAAGCATGCCAGTAGCTTCCTCTTTCAACAAGTTACATTGCTGTTGTGGAGAGTCAGATAGCACTGCCAATCCACATGGTCTGACATGTGAGTACTTCTGATTCAGCCTACTGCCTCAAAAGGTGAAATGGTTACAACTATATGATTTTTGCTTCTGTTTTTAAATACATCCCACAGACAACAACACCTTCTAATCCATATATACATATGAAATGTCTGCCAGGAAGCAACTAGTAACACAAGGTGTTTCTTGAGCTCTTCATTTAGGTAGGGCTGCCAAGTTGTAACAGAGATGTTAAGGCAAAGAATGACCATGGAGCAGCATCTTTCCACATTCCATTGTTTCATCCACCTTCCTCCTCAACTACTCTAGCAAACAGAGAGAGCCTGTATTCTGACCCACAACAGGCAAGGAGGCTAAGGCAGACAAAGAGGAACCAAGGGATGTACTTTTTGATCACCTCAGCATTTTGATGTGCCAACAGCACTTGAAGTCAGATTAGAGAAGCTCTGGCCCTTTACATTTAATGCGCAACACTGCCAAAATGTTAATCTTTGTGACAATTTGAAGCAGCACTTTTTTATACTGCTTGCCGTGTAAAATCTTAGTAAGATGTAAAAGTAGCTACTCTGTTCTCTTACTGCAGGAACAGCCATGTTGGTTTGTAGCAAAAACAGCTAATAGTCTAGAGCAGTGATGGTGAACCTTTCTGAGTCAGAGTGCCCAAACTGGGGGGGGGGAGGAGACCAACCCAGCAGATGGCCGGGGGCGGTGGCAGCAGAAGTGGTGATGATGGAAGTGGTGACAGAAGGGGGAATCCCAGGCACAGAGGAGCCTCCAGACCCCACTCCAGATTCACCTCCAGTTGTGCCCAACCCCACACTTCCTATAGCTTGGCCAGCCCGCCGCCACCAGTATCTGCCACCTGTTGGGGTGCTAGCACTGCCACTGCAGCCGCCTTCACAAGTTGCAATCCAGCAACTTATGGCTCGCGTGCCCGGCCCGCCACCACCAGTATCCGCCACCTGTTGGGGTGCTAGCACTGCCGCTGCAGCCGCCTTCACAAGTTTGGCTGCCGGGGGTTGCGATCCAGCGACTTATGGCTTGCGTGCCCCCCCGAGAGGGCTCTGCATGCCAGCTTTAGCACACATGCCAAAGTTTCGCCATCTCTAGTCTAGAGGCACCTGGAAGGCTAACCCACTCAATGCACCTGAAGGAATAGGGTAAGGCCCATGGAAGCTTAGGCTAAATGAAGTCTGTGCCACAAGATTCTTCACTGTTATTGCTACTGCATAATGAATTCTCAGAGATATGGAAGAGAAGTTATGTGTAAGCTGTTTCTGAATCACCCATCTGCTGGAAGAATTCCTTGCGGCTAATGCTGTGTCTGGTTGAAATTGCATTACCCAGACATAAAGCTAACCTAAAATTAACATCCTCATCCCCTTAAGGTTTATTCCCCTAGCAACTTAAAAAAATATTTCTGAGCTGTTCTAAAAAACTGGATTTGGAAGGCAGGGGAGCCAGTGTAACGATTACAATAAATTGTCTGCCATCCTCCCATCTGTGTTACCAGCAGATTCTATTTAAATTATTCAATTTTGATTATTTTTTATTAAATAGCAGTCACTTGGACTTGCACATTTATATTGATTGTGTCCATGGCTGCAGCTTCTTGGCATCATTCCTG